GGGTCTGCTTTTACCGGTTCTCACGGTCTCTTCGCTTGCAGATTTATTATTTTTTCTTCTACCCTGAAGATGGAGGCGATACGTTCCTCCGAACCGTCGGTTAACACCACATATACACGATGCCAAATCCCAGAAGACTGCTTTCTTCAAATCAATGTTACTTTATTTGTTTATTACATGCTTTTTTTACATGTTTCGATCCAACCGAATCAACTTCAGGTAAATATTAATGAAATCTACACTCATATTGAATTGTGTTACTAATGAGGATCCATATTAGCGGTCATAAATATAAATTTCATTACGACCCGTGTTTCATTACAAATTACAATGTAAAACTTATAACTCACAGATTTAAAAAGTTAAAATTTAAAATTGAATTACAATTATTGACGGTCTGTGATTACATATCGCGGAGCAGAGGGCTATTCAGTGTCGACGGTTGCGTAATAATACTATAGAGTGAAACACAACAGGAAGCAAACAATAGAAGCAAAATGCATTGTCTTCACGCTATGTATACATGTGTGTCTTTTAGTGGTGTTCGTGTTCATGTCGCCTGGCACTCATATGCAGAGTTGTTTGGTCGTTCTAAACCCTCCACGGTCAGTCGTGATCTGGTATTCTATGGACCTGTTCCTTGCCTTGTATATCGATATTCTTTTAAAGGTCCTTATGGTATAAGCGGATTTTTGGTCGGGGGACAGAAAAATGGAGAATTTTATGCAATATTTATATAAAAGGAATGGAATTAAAGCAAGAGGCGAAAATAAAGTCTGGTCTTCTCTCTGCTAGCTTTTCCTCGTGTTACATCTCGAAAAATTTCAACATTGTCGACAGAGTTTGGTTATTTAAATGCACGGCAAATTGAATTCAGTGAATTTTGGTCCACGTTTGTCTTTCCAGGCGGAATAAACTTAAAGCAGTTGTCTCACAGCTCATAGCCTTATTAGACCAGCAGGAATCAAAAAAGAGAATATAGTGATTAATGTAAGTTTACAGCCCCCAACAGTTTTGGGTACGAAATATGCGGATATGGACGGTCGGGCACAATCTCGCCACAATTCCTTCGTTTTATTGACACCACGAATATGTACTGTTAATGCGTTTCTGGACATTAACCATCGTCCTGTTTTTTTTTATTTTAAACACGACGTTTCGGGTAACAACTTCAGAAATATACCAGGCCCGTACTGGTTACATAAATACACCATTGTCACAGACTTCAGATCTTAAAAAGGTAAAGCTATATCCCTGTAACAGGCCGTAAAAGTCTATAGGTTTGTGAGACGTCGAGGCTCTCACATTTTCTAGACAGTCAGCTCACAGACGGCGGTGAGTTTGTCAGTCTTACACGCCGTCCGCCCTTTACCCCCAGGAAGATTCCCGGTACTCATTTCTGTTAGACGCTGAATCGGTCCAGGGCCATAGTGCGGCTGGAAGGATTAGGTCAACCGATAAATCCAATAAATGTATCGCGAATCGAACCCGCGACTTTCAGGCTTGTAGCATAGTGCCTCAACCAACTGCGCTACCGCGTGCCCCATTTTAGATCCTACTTACGTAAATAGTATGGACCTGTTATATGCCCAAAGTTTAGAACCTGAAGACGGACAGTAATCCTGTCTCCGAAACGTTGTGTTTTAAATAAAAACAGGACGATGGATAACGTCCAAAAACAGTAATTTTATTAACATATCATCGTTACAAACATTCAGACCTTATGAATATGCATTGTAAAACTATCTTTCTATTGAATGGTAAGTACGGTTTTGGTCTGCTATGTGTTTTGGCATTTGGGTTAATGTAACAACCCACATTTTTCTAGACAATCGACTCACAGATGGCGGTGAGGTTTCCAGCCTTCCGCGCCTTAACCCCCGGAAGATTCCTGGTGTTCATTTCTGTTAGAAGCTGAGTCGACCCCAGGACCGTAGTGCGGCTGGAAGGATCACTTCAATTGAAAATTCCAGTAACCTCATCGGGAATGGAACCCACTACCTTCCGGCCTGTAGCGTTGTGCCTCAACCAACTACACTACGGAGTAACTTCCTCACTCAGTACTAAACAATAAAAAGAAAATGTCCCCGCCATTTTTCCGTAGATAAATATATTGTTGTAGACTTGCAAACAATATAAATTCTACGTCTCCTACTAAAATATTACCAGAAGAACTATTCATGGTTTTGAAACTGTAGAATCTATTCGTTTGAACGGAGAAGTTCATGGAGGTATGCCTGGGCCCACTGGGGCTTCAGTGCCAAGGAAAAAGAAAAGAATCTATTCGTTACCTTTGAAGAGAAGGAAAATTTTTCTAACTTAAACCCAAAATGGAAACAAATTGTCAATGAATAATCCGTCGAGTGTAACAACGTTCTTAGGTCACTTATTTATTTCACTCGCCTTACATGTTTCGGTTCAAAAGAAACCATCATCAGAGGCGCGTTACAAACACATGAAACCACTGGCGTTGTATTGTACACAGTATGTAAGCTGCGTGATCTGCTACAGATGTCTGAGTGTAAAAGCACAACTTTCTAGTAACGTTGAATGCATGTACACCTCTTGCATTCCATCCAAAGAATGCTCTCAAACTGAGCCGTCAATGTTAAAATATTTAAAAACTTAAAACATTTGAATTAAAATTTGGCTCCTTCTTGTTGATTCGTCCCGGTGATGGGAATCGTCAACTTGAGGTTGTGTATGCTTTTGGTCGGATGTGTCTTACGCGTTGTGTGTTGTGTACTGGCAGTACAATTTGTGATTGATAGTGTAACGGACCAAATATGAAACAATTCAAACCAAAATGGAAAGTTAACGTATACGTTTGCGCAAGCGTGGTGGCTTTTTTATGCGTAACAGTTAATTTTCCGTTAGTCGAGTGGATTTCTGTTAAGTATATGACATGCATTCACTTAATCAAAAATAATTGGAATAGATTTTAATGTAATTCAATATGTCCTCGAGACTTATATTCACCTATGACATCTAGGTCTTCATATGTTGTTATATTGTTTTATTGCCTGAAATATAATCCACCGCGCAAACAAACTTATTATTTATGCGCAAAAAAAAAACGGTATTAAATGGCGCGATACTGAACTGTACTCGTGTAACTGAACATATTCTGTATGCACTGAACAGAAGGAACTTTTAATTTTACTAATCATGATTGTCATAATAATATTTTGCATAGTAGACACCGAACGTTTAACATTTATGATACTGTGACATGTAGACCCATTGGCAAGTAACAGTTGTCTAAACAAGCAACAATGCAGAACCGTTGCTACGGAACCGCTCTGAGGACACGTGGTTCCCTTGGCAACGAGAAAACACGCAATAATGGAAGAGACGTTTTCTTTGAGATCCGTGCCGAGACTATATAACGAGGACTAGTAGTTCACCGATGGAGGTAGTTTCGAATACCTCCACTGTAGCTCTGCGAGTCGTAGGAAGCGACGACAAAGGAACACAGTGCCTGGTGATATAACTGGGCAGACAATCTTGTTCCTGGGGAATATAAATACGGGGACCTGCTCCTCCAGGTTGGAGGCGTCTGGAGTTTGAGACAGCATACTTTGGTCATAAGTCCCGCGGGACTCGGACCCGAAAATCGCTGCGCTGAAGAGGGTCAGCAGCAATTGTAAACGACATAGTCTGCCATTGTCAAGGTATTGAAACAGCTCCATTCACTACACTCTCAAACCACTTTACCTATCATCCACTCTAATATTATTCGCGGAAACAGACCGTCTTTCTGTGTCCTTTCCCACCTTTGGCTCAAAACTGATGTGTTCTTTCTCATTTTCTCGGTCCGAATTCCTCTCTTTGCCTCCACTCCTCGTGTCCCATGAATTCTTCCTTTGGAAATTGCTGTTCCCGAACTTGTATATTTCAACTCGGAAGTTACAGGAAGAATGTTTCGTATGAAACATTAGTGTCCAGTCACAAGACCGCACGGTGTCACAATCCAGAGAACCAATATCCTAACAATTACTGCCTTAAGAACTTCGAAACTGACATTTTCCTCTTGAGTGGATTTTCTAGGTGGTAACGTCTTGTAGCTTTGTAGAAAGGTATAGTTCCTCTGAAACGTCGATGTACTTCCACCGAACAACATTAAATCCTCCTCCAATCTTCTCTCATTTTAAGCAACCACTTCAGTGAGACATGATCAGTGTACTTTGTATTATATGTTGTTCTGTTTCTGGTGATGGTGGTTATCTGGAAGACATAATGATATGTGATCCGTGGAGATTGTGTCTAGCGAAATATACGACCCGTGGATTTTCTTAGAGTATTTGTTCAGACGGATAAATGCACTCAGAACGTC